TACAGCCTTCTTCAAGCTAGAACACGCGTTTTTTATCTCTGGATTCCTGGACTTTCAAGCAAAACTCATAACATGAAAAGTGTAGAGCATGAAGAGACGGTTTCAACCATATAAAGAACATGACCTATCTCTCCAAGATGAGGGAGAATTTCTCTCCCCCTCTTTTCTGACCTAACTTTTCTACCATTTTCAGAACTCAAATTCTCTCTACTCAGACAAAAGAAATGAAAAGTAAAGCTATGTACATGTTCAGGGCTATGAGTAGGACCTTGTTTCTTCACAAACTTAAGACTAAAGATGCATAATAAGAGAGATACGAATCCAAACTTTTACCTGTGCAGTTGAACTTCTATGTGGAGAATGAGAGACTTTCAGTGCAATGTAATGATTGGAAAAGCTTCCTTGAGGTCCAGGGATGCTTTTTCAAGGCTTACTTTGTCTTGAACCTTCTTGTACTACGCTGCAGAACTTCACCTGCAAGTCAAAGATGTGAAAATGGTGGAAGTGGTTAGAGCAACTACAGATCGTGCCTTAGCTTCTGGATAGCTTGCATATGTTGTATGGAAGGTAGAGGAACAGGTTTGGACAGAAATGCTTGAAGGGATTGAGAGATAGCACTCAATCTGCAGGGGCTCCCCTGTTTGTGCAGTTTTATGGTGTTTCTGAGATGGAGAGGGTTTGAAAGGGAAATGGCTCGTGCAAAAGCTTGAATGTGGTCTATGGAATGTGTTTGATATCTTTTGTGTTGTGTCCTTTTGCTGATATGAGAGATAGCATATGTTATGGACCTTTCTTCACACTTAAGCTACAAAAGCAAGTTGGTGGTTTTAGGTTGGTAGGGAGAAGAATTGTGGTGCATAAGCCTCTCTTGATCAGTGTGTTATGCACATAATCTTGTGTAAAGCAGATCTTTCATGTACTTGTTGGATTACAAACTTGACATAAAGCTAAACTTTTCAAAAATGGCAATTTCACTTTATCCAAAAATGGATCAATCTTGTGTATAATGCTTGAATTCATGGAACAACACTTAGACACAATGAACAAGCATTAAATTAAGGAGTGTAATGTGGTTTAAGGACCTGCAAAGTAGCACAAACTATGCTGAGTTCAAATTTGCCAAGTTTATGAACATGTCTAGATGAAGAACAAAAGTGAATTTTTGCCAACTTGTGAGATTCGAATCTCTCAAGTTATGAGGTTGTTTGATGAGTTCTTGGACATTTTGGAAAGCTTGGAATGTGTACTACAATCCATCTTTGAAATGCAAATCAAAATTCCAAGTGGAAGGGTATGAAAAGTGGCCTTGAAGTAGGGTAGAAAACCTTGTCAAAATAGGTCAAATTTCACTAAGTTAAAAGATGGTTTAGTGCCCTTATTCAAAAAATCATAACTTGAGATACAAGCTTCAAATGAGAAAACTTTGTGAATCAAAGTTGTAGATTATGCAACAAGCTACAACTTTCATGTTTTGACTTTTGTTTGAATCCAAATGGATCATGGTGAAAAGATGGGGCAAAGTTGGGAAAAAAATTAGGGTTTTTCATAACTTAGAAACATTCTAAGTTATGAAAAATTCCATCTTCAAACCCTAATTTGCATTTTGTGATCTCTTGGTGAACAAGTTTCATGATTTGGAATGTTTTGATGAAAAATGAATCTTGACTCTTGATTTTGACCAAAAAGTCAAAGTTTGACTTTTAAGTATACAGTCAAAATTGATCAATTGACTGAGAAATTCAACTGTCAATCTTGTGTACTTGGGATCTTTTGAGCTTGATGAACATGTCAAGATAATTCCATTGAGTCCTTGAGGCCATATGTGAGCTTGGTTTGCCATTGGCTAGGTCAAACAGTCAAAAATTGCCTTTGTGCAGTCAAAACCCTAAAAATGACCATTTTACCCTTTTGATGATCTGATCAAATTTCTTGGGGAATTGTGATCCAAACTTGATCAAATGGTCCATGTGAGTTCATAATGTTGATGTGGATCAAATTTCATGAGGTTTGACTGTCAATTGGCCATAGTTGACTTTTTCCCCAATACAGCTGATTTCTAGGTCAACTGTCCAATTGACTGGGTAAAACTTGGAATCAAGACTTGAAACTTGGTATAGGTAAACTTGGGAGTCCAACATGAAGCATGAAAGTCATCTTAGGCATTTTAGGTCAAAACATCTTTGTGCAAACACAAACCCTAATTTGAGTCCACAGTGCAAGGAGAAGTCTTGAGCAGAGGAAACCCTAATTGTATCTTGATCTTCAAATGTCTTGTGATGAGAAAATGTTGAGGAAATGGGAGGGCAAATTTTGGGGTACAACATTCTCATTATAGAACTGATATTCATGGTGGGTATTTAGAATGTTGTGTAGGTGTTCAACTTACTTCGATTACTCTATTAAAGATCTAATGACATGATCAAGTAAATGCGTGCGAAACTAAATTGCATGAATAAAGTTCAATTGTAAAGACATGTAAAACTGCAGAAAAGACAAGTAAATGACTTCGAAGCATAAAAACATGTAATGTAAAAGCGTTTCTGGAATGTAAAAGATTCGAAATATGAAGAAAGCGTTTAAATGCAAGAAATCAGTAAAATGACTTTGAATGGAAAAGGTATTCGAATGATAAAAGCATGAAGATAAAGGCATGAAATATACAAAAGTTTCTGAAATGTAAAGGATTTGAAATGGAAAGAAAACATTTAAATGTAAGACATCAGTAAGAAGACTTCGAATGAAAATATTTTAATGTAAAGGCTTTTGAATGATATTGACATGAAGATAGAGGAAAAGACTGGAAATGATAAAGAGTTTTATTGAATCATAAACACTTGGTGTTATCATACGTACATTGTTCGTGCATTCGTTTCCCTAGCCATGTGGTATTTTGAATGTTTACTGAATTTTTGTACAATAGATATGACACACGAAATCCTAATGCTAAGACTTCTATTTATACTACTTCGACCATAACGGTCTTGCTATAAGATTCTGCCACGTTCAGAACATGCAAAGAAATGTCCCTCTCTAGCTTCCACGCGTCTTCGAATGCTCCAGCGCATATATTTTAAATTTCGAACATCCCGCTTGCGTTTGAATTTCAAATGTTTTGGCACTCTTCGTTTCGAACTCATTTCTTGGACACAGCCTTGTTACCATTTCGAGACTTCTTTGAATATATCCCCATAACTGTCACTCGAAGCTCAGAGTTTTGACATGCCCATTCGAAGCACTGCTTCTACCATTTCGAAACATGACATCTTGCTTTATTCCAATCGAAACATCCAACTTGCTTTGCTTTCCCAGGAGCTCATATTTTCACCATCTCCACGTCTAGCTCGCCCGGCGACGCTCGGGCGCTCTGCTCGCTACCACGCTTGTCGTTGGCTCGCTCGACGATGCTTGTGAAAAACAACTTATCAGTTATGATTTTTACACTGTTCGACCCCATTCCAACTTCGATTACAATACCAAACTCAGTCTGAAATGCGTCAGAAATCCCACATATCACATAGCGACATCAAAATACATCATCTACACATTATAGGTCTAATCATGGCATTTCTATTTCATCATAATTCCAATTTCATCATGCATTTCATTATGTTTTCACCAAATCAATATACAAGCAAAACCCTATATTTATCCTAACCTTATATCAATTATAATAGATCAGATTAAACTCGTTACCTTAATTCGTAGCGAATGATTCTTCGAACTCTAAGAACTGATTCTCTTCTCTTCCCGATCGCACAGAATAAACTTTCTCTTCCTTATTTTCTCTTTTTACTTGTTTAACCGTTGGACATTTTCTATTATATTCCCCTTATGCCCTCACTTATCATCATATATTACCAATGTGCCCTTATTCTCCCTTCCAACTATTTATTCTATTCAGTTATTAATAAATCTAAATAATATAACAAAATTATTTAAATCTAAATAATTTTAACTAACGCCCTTAATTCACACTACACCACAATATACCACATATATATTCACCAATAATTCATATAATCAATTCTAAATCTACACCTTTGAGATACATTTATAAATAATAAAAAGTTTTTTAGATTCATTGACTAATTGATGTATCTAGTATAAAATAATGACTAGATACATCATTTATTCAATAAATTTTAAAAACTTTTTTTTCTTTATAAATGTGTCAGGATGATGTATCCATTCAAAAATTATCCAAGAAAATCAAACATATATAAAACCCTCAAAGCAAGCATGAGTCATATAAGGAGGAATTACTTTTCTAAAGCATACAAAATTCATAAATATATACACTTAAATTTTTGGATAAGTTATTTATCATTAAAAAATAATAACATCTTGATGATTGGTGGATCAAATATTAAAAAAATATTGATAAAGTATTATTTATTAAAATTACCATTAAAATTTAATTTTAATTATTTTTTTAAATGCAATTAAACAATTTGAATCCATAAAAAAGTAATTCTGCCATAAAAACAAACTATCAAAAAATTTGTTACAAGTTCTACCGGTTTTCCGGATTGGCACCCGGTTTTGTGTAGAACCGGTAACCGGCTGGTTCAGTCTAAATATTTATCACCTAATTCGTAGATAATAATAAAAAATAAAAGCAAATGGTAACAATGTGATAAAATACCCTTTTTATCCTTATAAGTTATAACACAACGTACGGGCAGAAGAAAGAGATACGATAAGAGATGCAATGGGCTCTCAACTCTGAACTGAACTGCCACGGCCACCACCACCACCACCACCGCTGCCGCTAAGACGCAGCAGGAGTTGATACTCAGCCACAATAAATAGTGAGAAATCTTTCTCTTTTTTTTCTTCCTATTCGGAATTACCTTCCTTCCCCTCTTTGTAGCGCACGCGATTTACGGCCGCAATAGCCGGCGTTCCATTTTTAAGTTGTTAATTTGTAACTGAATTGTTCATATTGCTTGGTTGAATTTTTGACAGAAATCGCGTGCAACAGTGATTTGTGTGTGGCAATGATGATCTCTTCTCTGCATACTTCACTTTTTGTTGGAGCATCTCTTTTTCGTCAAAGTAATAATAGCCTCAGAAGCTTAGCATTTTGTTTACCTTTCTCATCTGCACCTGCTTCTCTCTCTTCTGATAAGCTTTCTAACAAGAAATGGCGGCAACCGGTTTTCTCTGCATTGGACCTTGGCGGAGTCAAGATTACCAAACAAGGTACTTTGCTTGGGTTTTGTTGGTTGTTTGTTTCCATAAAACTTTTTTTTTACTCTTTTAATTTATCATAATTTGAATATCGTTAATCATAATGAAACTCGTGTTTTGAACATGTTCGAGTTTCTTATACACCATAGCACCGTTGTACTTCTGTAATTCATCTGCATTTTAGACATAACATCCTCTTTTTTCTCTTGAATAATTTTGCCCTAACTGCAGGGAAGCAATTGTATTCAATAAGTTTCTTTTCAAAACTTACTTCCCTCTGCATGTAAATCTGTATTAAATTCTGTAGCAAATCCTTTGCGGTGATATAATCCATTTTTTCGGAACCTATTAACAGTTAGCAGTCCTCAAAATTCTCCTAGAGTTTGTGGCAGTCCTCAAAAGCTTTGATACTTAGCTACACGTGCACTATAAAATTCTCGGTTCTTCCCCATTGTTTTAATCATTTTAACCATTGACAGGTGTTCTATAAAGCCACACATTATGTAATAATTAATGAGAATGCCCATAACTATGTCCTATTTCCTCTTCTCCAAATGAATGATATTTTAAGCCATTTTATTGCGGTTTCGTATTTGGATATGACTGCAGTTTCATAAGGTTGAGTTAGACCCAAATACAATTTTAAGAATTACTATCATACAATTTACAGGGATGTTATGGGAAGTGTATAACTTAACTTGTTCTTGTTTTCTATTTTTCTTGCTATGTATGTGCCTCTATGTGTGCAGGTTTTTATTGAAAAGTATTCTTTGGTTCATGAAAATCTAATCATTTCTGCTTCTTGGTCCTTTAGATGTAGTGAGGGATGATCCAACAAATAATGTTCCAGACAACATATTTTCAAAACTTGGAATGCAACTTCATAGGAGGGATCAACACCCTCTTGGGATACTCAAGAATGCGATATACGAATATTTTGACACAAATTATTCAAACAAGTTCAACAAGTTTGACAACCTTTGTCCTATTGTTACACTGAAGCAGGTATGGTAAAATGCATCGAAATATATATTGCCCTTTGTTCCTATACGATGCATTGATATTGTTTTTTGTTATCATATTGGTTCTGTAACTTTTGTTTCTAAACTTTCCATAGTGAATACAAGTACACTCTATGGTCCCTTATCAACGGTCCAATTGACAGTTAGCTAACCAACTAATTGGTTTCTTATCTTGTTGATTACTCCTTATCAATGTGCGCATTGAATCCTATTCATGTAAATTTCTTTTCTTGCATATTACTCTCTGTCTTATATTAAGTATCACTTTAGGTTACTTTACAGAGACCAATAAAAGTTGTAAATAAACGAAAGTGTGTGACAGTTTTACAATTATATCCTTATTAACCAATGTCATAAATGTGTAGGGGGGGAGTACAGTGGACTTGGGAGTGAGATAACATTAATTTGGAAATAAAATTGCATTAATTTGGAAATAAAATTGGAATAAAGTAATTAATGTTGCATTGAAAACATAAAACAACACTTGTTTTTAAGACAAATTCCTTTTGCTAATGTGATACTTAATATGGGACAAAGGAAATACTTCTTTTTGGTTGGCAAGGTGGCTTGAACTTCATAACAGCACTTCCTTCTGACAATTTTCTTTATGTTCTAGAACTTTGATGATGTCTTGGTTCCTGAAGATCATGTGAGTAGGAGCTATAATGATACATACTATATAGACCCTCAAACTGTTTTAAGGTGCCACACAAGTGCTCATCAGGCAGAATTATTGAGAGATGGATATACTCATTTCCTTGTTACCGGGGATGTTTATCGAAGGGATTCAATTGATTCTACTCATTATCCTGTCTTCCATCAAGTATGTCCCTTATGCAGTAACTGGTTTATTCCCTAATGATTACATTTATATGATTTCTTCTTATTATATTATGTAGATGGAAGGCTTTCGGGTTTTTGTTCCAGATGAATGGGAGCCTTCTGGGATGGATGCCACATCATTTGCAGCAGCAGACCTAAAGAAATGCCTTGAGGGTCTAGCACGCCATTTATTTGGTATTTGCAAATACTCAATGCACACATTTCATTTTTCGGTTGCTGCAATGTGATAATTGAAGAGGATTAGTAAGATGAACTAATAAAACAAAGCAAAAGAATCGATTTGTGAGTTTGATAGAAACTTCATCTTCATTTCATAAACATTCATACATGCATATTTCAATGTTCATGCATAGCGAAACAAATTTATTCAAAAGTTTCTATAGAGCTTTTGATTGTCTGAGAAATTTGTTTTATGCCTCTTTGACTTAGCAGTGGCAGGTTCAGGTTTTTGAAAGAACCTTTCTGCTTGCACCTTCCCAGACCCAAACTTGTGAGCGTCTTGTGCCCAAGGCTTCCGTTTAATGCTGTTCCTAAGTAAAAGAAATAAAAAATGACACAATTTTAAGATAGCTTAAATAGACACAAGTGCATAATTTATAGCCTTTTTGCTGAACTGGCATAAAAGAATGCCTCTCTACCCAACAAGCAATGTTTATAAGTGTGTGCGTGCAAATATTATGTACACACATACGTAAATGCAAATTGGAAAAATTATCATTGCCTATAAAAACGTTGTCAATAGGAAAGTGAAAATTTGATATTTTATGACGATAATCTCATTGTAAGATGTAATGCTAAAATAGGATTTTGTTAGATATTATATATAATCAAGGTGTCTAGTTGTGATTGTGAGTTTGATATATTCATTTGAAGCTAAGTATAATTTACAAAATGCTGATATATAACCTTTTCCCTTGTACTTCAGGTGATGTGGAAATGCGATGGATCGATACCTATTTCCCGTTTACTAATCCATCATTTGAACTTGAAATATATTTCAAGGTATTCTATGTTCATGATTGTCTCTTAAATACACCACGATTACGTAATTCTAGTTAATGGTTTTTGCCTCCAAAGTTATAGTGTCGATATACCCTTGGTTCCTTTCCAAGATTAAATTAAGGTTATGCATATGTTTTTCCAGCAATAAAAAGACTGGGAAATATCTTCCAATCAATTAAAGCAAGGATTTCTAGTTTATTCAGTTAATGTTGGATTTTTTTTTGTCAGGGAAAATGGTTAGAGGTTTTGGGGAGTGGAGTAACAGAGCAAGAGATTCTGAAAAAAAACGGGGTATCTAATAATGTTGCTTGGGCTTTTGGCCTAGGTTTGGAGAGGTTAGCTATGGTTCTATTTGACATACCGGATATTCGTCTCTTTTGGTCAAATGATGAGCGGTTTACCTCCCAGGTATTTATTGGATACTGTTGACAAACATCCTTCAATATTTCACTTATTTTTCCTGGTTGTCAAATTGACTGCAAGGATGTATGAGTTAGTCAATTTGATAATTAATATAATATAATGTGTTACTTTCTTTTCTGTTATTTTATTTACAGTTCTCCAAGGGCCAGTTAGGGGTCAAATTTAAGCCGTTTTCAAAGGTAACTTCTACACTACATGCACATCTTTACTCCTGTTGTCTACATTTGTTGTCATTTTTCTGAGTAGTTAATAGTTAGGAATTTTGTTATTCCTTTCAAAATAATACCGCAATTCTAAGTTGTAAGTGAATGATACATTTGGCTGAAAACATATGATGGCCCATATATTTTTTATGCAAAACTGTTAATACTTGCGCTGTTATTGAGAAATTGTGGGTCTAAATTGCAATGTTTGATTAAAAATAGAAAGTTGCCATGACCTTAATGTGTTACTGTGTTATAGGTCCTGTCATGATTTGTTTAGATAACCAGTTATTTTAACAAATAAGTTAAGAATATAATTTCTGCTTTTTTTGTTTCATTTTTCTCAAACGATACTTGTCTAGTATATGGAAATCTGATACCAGAGGGAGTTTAATTAAGCAATCTTACATACACTTTTTTTGCTTGGAACCCTTCTGTTATATGTTATATTCTGCATGCCTGACTGTATTGTTATTGGGTCAGAAATTTTTATTTACTTTATATTGTGACTGGATAAATGAGAAAAATATTTTGGCGAGATTCTAATTCTTCTCTCGGTTTTCTTCTTACAGTATCCTCCTTGTTACAAGGACATCAGTTTCTGGATCAATGAATCATTTACTGAAAACAATCTGTGTGAAGTTGTCAGAGGAGTAGCAGGGGATCTTGCAGAAGAGGTACATTATAGAACTTTGAGTAATTTGAGTCAATTTATCCCTGGTTATATTTATTTAGGTTCTCAATTTGGCGGCTTTCATATTGTTTAATAGGGATAAAATACATTATATGAGATTATGAATGAGAGGGATGATGTGACAATATTCACACAAAAATCGTAATAGATACTCTGTTTTGAACTAGATCTGGCAAGAACTGTGTTTTTTTTACTCTTCCAAGAGACAATGCCTTCAATTAGAACACAGTGGTGAACTAGAGTATCTATTTGAAGTAGAAATTTCCCCATCAACATTAGCATAAGTTATCACCTGTTGTATGAGTATTGTCTGTGCCTGTGAGGATGGAACCACGACACGCCCATGATTATCACTTGGAGATGTAACTTTGATATTCATGGAGGACTAGATTTACTTTGAGGTTCCTTGTAACTTCTGATTCTTGTAACCAAAAAGAAGAAAAACATGAGCCCAAAAAGGATTGAAGTTTTTCTTTTTCTTATGCTAGGTTTCTCAACTATGGACCCCCTTGTCTTCTTTTGTTCACTTTTCCTCTTTTCTGAGATTAATCATTTTGGTTTTTAACTGGATTATGATGATCTTTTCCTCATTTTTATCCCTTTGGTGCCGCAAGAGTTTGGTCCCTTTCTGATTCTGTTTTGTTTCACGAAATCACAGGTGCAATTAATTGACAATTTCACCAACAAGAAAGGAATGACCAGCCACTGCTATAGGATTGCATATAGGTCTATGGAACGTTCTCTTACTGATGAAGAAATTAACGATTTGCAGGTACTAAATATAGTTATAGAATAAATCAGTGCAATTATTACTAGTTTGACGTAGTCGTATTTTGTTTTGGATGCTACTGACTTTGTTTTTCCTTCATTAATGCAGTGGAAAGTAAGAGAACTGGTGCAGAACAAATTGGAAGTTGTCATAAGATGAGCTTTAATGGGGTTTTTATGCAGTTTTGCTATTTTTGTGACAATTTTTTGTATGTAAAGACGTTTTAACTTCCATTACAACATCTGAATAACGCCACAGACCAATGTATTATTTATTTCAGCATTGTGAATGTATAATACAAAGCTAGCTAAACTGGAATGTGTATTTAGAACCTGTTGGTGACAACACTCTTGGCATATCATGCTCAGCAGAAACTGAATCCTTGTGAAATTTACTTAGATTTGTATAAATTTATGGTTTCCTCCTATTTTATCTTTATTTTATCTTTGCTACAAAAGATCAAAGAAGATGAATAAGTAAATGTAAAAGCTCTTCATATCATATAGCGTGTTTGGATTAAAGTTTGTAAATTAATTTTAGATGAATTTGATTTTGTTTAGTTGCTGTTATACAAGTCTGTTTGAGTATAATATTTTATGTTTGGAATCCAAGCGAATATATCAATTAATTAAAAAAAAAACTATTATTGAATCAACTTTACATCAAATTAGTTAATTAACATATTCGCTTGGAATGTTTATTCACACATTTCAAAGGATAGACACTTTTGTGAGAGACACACCACTTATCTATTTAAAATTTTAAGGTGATAGATGAGTGGGTTATCTCACTTATATGCACATTTGTGAGAGGCACACCACTTATTTACTTAAAATTTTAAGGTGATAGATGAGTGAGTTCTCTCACGTGATAGATGAGTGAGTTCTCTCACTTATATATGCTTAAGTCTCTATATTCTTATTAAATGTGAAATTATTTCCCTACTTACTCACATTTACTATATTATTCAAACAGTTTCGAGTCTCTTTTAAAAAAGTTCTTCTTTCTATGTAGTAAATCATGTTTCAAATCTCTTTAAGGATTACATTCACATTAAATTATATAACATAATTCATGTTTCGGGGGGAGATAATAGGCACCTTTGTGAAGAGACACACCACTTATTTACCTAAAATTTTAAGGTGATAGATGAGTGGGTTCTCTCACGTGATAGATGAGTGAGTTCTCTCACTTACTCACTCATATATGCTTAAGTCTCCATATTTTTATTAATGTGAAATTATTTTCCTACTTACTCACATTTACTATATTATTCCAATAGTTTTAAATCTCTTCTAAAAAAGTTCCTCTTTCTATGTAGTAAATCATGTTTCAAATCTCTTTAAGGATTACATTCACATTAAATTATATAACATAATCTCTTTAAGATTACATTCACATTAAATTATAGATGGAGGGCCTCACATTAAATTATACAACATGAAAAAGTAAAGATACAGTTTTTTTTTTTAAAATGATTTTTGTAATATTATATAATTTTATGGAAAAAAAATGTACAAAATTTTTTTTCATAAAAACTTTAATTAAAATTTTGGTTTGAATAGTTATTCTAAAAATATTATTTTAAGTATTTCATCTTATTGAAAAAAAAATTGAATATTAAAATGTAAAAAAAAATCACTTAATTTTAAAGTTATTTCAAATAGATTTTCATAAAAATCATTTTTGAAATACAATTTTTTTTAAAAATTACGATTTTGTCTATGAGTTGATCTTCAATAATGTATTGTTTTTGTTATAGGATATCAAAACTAATATTTTAATTTAGAAAAAACGAATATAGAAAAACTTATAATATTTTAAATATCGATTTTGAAAAATCTATTTTTTAAAAACCGAAACAAAGAGGCTCTCAGGCCGCGCCCAGAGAGTTATACATTATTTAAAATAGATTTTCAAGTAACACAACTCTTATAAATACTATTGAGACTGAGTACCAAGTATGAACCATATAAGGAACTTCCAATGGAGTACTAGTACCAAATAGGTAACCTTCCTAAGAATAACAGGTATCAAAGACTTAAGACCGTTGTTGGTCACATTCATTTAGATTTGCTCTTTTTCCTCCCCCATTTTCACTTTACAAAAATCAGTACATTATGTTCCAAAAAATTAAACTGTCAGACATTTAATGGAGGAAAACTTTCATAAAACTTCAGGACACAAGAAAATATATTCATTAAGGAATCTAACACTCGAAGCATACAAATATATGTATTGATTTTTACATGACATGTATCTGCTATCACAAATTGAAAAATCCTTTTAATACTTGTTGGAGGTCATAGATCTGTTTCCAAGTATGATAGCATGCAATGCTATCCTTGTTTGTCCCCTAACTCATACAGCAGTTGGTGCTTCCTCTGAGGGCAGTTTCTTCTTACCTTTGGTGTTTTCTTTAATTTCCCATAAATCCCTCATCTGAGTTTTTGGAGGTGGTGTTGCATCTGCAATTGGAGCAACTAATCCTGGTTTTCCGTCATCAATAACCTCATCAACCAAACCGTATTCCTTCGCTTCCCAAGCACTCATAAAATTATCACGTTCCGTGTCCAATTCAATCTGCATGAGAATTAAGTAAATAAAAAATGGTGAAAAAAAATGTATCATTTTGGACAACAAATTAGATGATGCCATATATAATTCTAACCTGCGATTCGGCCTTTCCTGTAATTCTTGATAGTATCTTGTTTATTTTAACCTTGTGATATGCCATTTCTCTCACACGGATGTACATTTCTATAGCCTGCAAGTACATTTCACGGTTTAGTCATACTTCATTGAAGGTTTTTGCTCAGAACCACCAAATAAAATGCATCATGAGAATTCATAAAAGATGGCCAAAACAACTCTAGCCATGTGCAACATTTTCAGATTCAGTTTCACCGAAACAGCTCTGATGTTCTCTGAACTTCTATTTTGCTTTCTATCCTTTTACTTTACTTTCTCACTTGTTTGATTACTAATTACTAATAACTTAGTAAGTAATAAGCACAAACTACCAAATTGCGGTTTAATCTCAACTTGATTGCAACTAGTAGAACTAAAAGAGGGGAGAAGCAAACATAACCGCGTCAAAACTATATTGGGAGAGATCAGGATCTCTAAAACATCTAGAGAGTAAACATTCTCTCAACACATCCACCCTGCTCTTGGTGTTGTACCTCCATTGATACAGAATTGGAACCAGTGCTCTACGAAACTGATTCTAATTTGTAGGTTAATAGCATATTTAAGCTACAAATTTGAAGCAATCATGCCCGAGTTTACGACAAGAGAGATTCTTTCAGTTATCTCAAATTAGAATTGAGTTGACAGATACTGCAGTTAAGGAAAAACGTATAGCTTCCACATCCCATACTTCTCTAACACATGCGTCAAATCTAAAATTAGCTTAAACATAAACATGATTATCTGCATTCAAAAAAAGAAAAATAGCCATGACAAACATCAGACCTATTACTAACTGACAATAATCAAACCGAAGGATATAAGTAGACAGTCTTACCGCTCCGCCAACAGTTCCGAGCGGTTGGTGGATCATAACTCTAGAATTCGGCATACAATATCTCTTTCCTTTTGTACCAGCAGCAAGGAGAAATGCACCCATGGATGCTGCAAGTCCAAGGCAAACTGTTGACACATCCGCCTTGCATAACTTCATGGCATCATAAATTCCCATTCCTGCAGAAGACAGGCTTAACTCCTTAGCTTAAATCCTAAAAAACTCCTCCAGACTCTATATTCTAACAGTTACCACAAGCAGTGAATCAACAAACTAATGCGAGTTAGTATAGGCTAAAATTTTGTGTATGGTAAAAAGTAAACATCTATTAGCAATCAATCAACAAAATTGAGCTTGAGATTCGAGTAGATCCGTGACGAATCAGGTGCACAGATAATAACAACCGAATAAGAACAAACAAGTAAAAATAGATCGAGTAAAACTTTGTTTACATACCAGCAGTAATAGAACCACCGGGTGAATTTATAAATAACTTGATTTCTTTCTTAGGATCATCAGCATCCAAAAATAAAAGCTGACTGATTACAAAATCTGCAGTCATATCATCCACCTGCTCAAACAAAGAAATTCACAAACACCCTATCAGACACTATCTCTTCAGTTCCATTTCATTTTCCCTCTTTGTTCTTTCAATTTTCTACAACCTTTACATAACCATAAAAAATAAATTCCAAAACCAATAACATCAAACACCTTGTCTGCAATTGAACACTATTATCATATTAATTCCCCTTTTCCCCTATTTGTCCATTTTTGTGCTATTAGACTGAACCCACAGGAACAAGTTTGTAAATTTCCCATTAAAAAATCAAAAATTACAAAAGGGTACTCTTAAAATATCAAAACAACAGCAACAACCCCACTAACCCAAAAGAATGGGAAAAAAGATTCATAACCTGAGAACCCAAAAAGACAATCCTTTGACGGAGAAGCATGTTGGTAGTATCGAGTTCTTCGAATTTGGGAAGCCATGGAGAAGCAGTTTTGGCAGATAAATCATGGGAAACGAGCCAGTTGGAGGATAAAGTGGGTTTGATTGCGTTAGAGATTGTTGTTCTGTGTTTGGTTGAAAGATTGAGGGTGGGAATTTGAGAGTGGAAAAGGTTAGTATTGTTATGCTTCAAGAACGTATTGTTCGATTTGAAGCTTAGTGGTATACATGTTGAGGATAAACTCACTTCCATTTTCTTCTTCTTTTCTTCTTCTTTGTTTTGGTAACTATACTAACGAATGGGTGAAGGATACTCTTCGTTTGTTTGGTTTGAAAATGAAGTGAATGTATTGGGTTTAGATGTTGGGCTCAAAATTTATAACCACCTTTGGGATTGCTCGATGCACCATTAGTGGTGCTCACACGCCTCCATGAAAAATCATAAATGTTCCTCAAATATGTAAGGGAACTTTTTAATGCAACCCATAATTTTCTATCGCAATGTATGAAAACACCAAAATGCTTCTAATTTTTAGAGTTGTATCTTTGGATGCGTTAAAAAAACTATTAAATTATAACTTTGTTTGAAGATGTATATGTGTAATGTGTTCGGATGTTTATTTCTGAAATCTTGCGTAACAGAAACAGAAAAACAGAATGGAAATACATCAACTTGATAAA